TAGTAAAGCCTCCCATTCAGCCTGTCACCACTGGACCTTCCCCCAAAGCATTTTCCCTACATCTCACTCACCATCTCTAGGTTTCTTCCTGGTTGTTCAGCAACCTATTCCACTGCCCTGGCACAACTGGGCTGTGGACATTATAACCCTATTTATAAATTGTTTAAAATACACAAAATAAGTCTCTGGACTGTTTAGGAATGCATACATACACAATAGAGTCTAAAGGGAAATACAGGAATAAGGAAGATTAAATTCAGGTTAGTGGTTATATTCTGTGAGAAAATGTCAGGATGGATTAGACAGGGAAATTCAAGGTATCCTGATCAGGAAATCAATAAAGGTGTTCTTTATTAAAAAAAATAATAAAGAAATTGTGTATTTGAAATATTAAATGGTAAAATCCATATATTTATCTCCCCATATACATATGAAGAAATGCACCCAAAATCTTAGAAATGTGTATTGTTGAGCAGTAAGATTATGAGGTATTTTTTCTATTCATATTTTCTAAAAATTTCTTTTAGAATGTGTATCATTTTTATTAACAGAAAAAAACACTGCAAGAATAGCTTTTGATAAAGAATGTTTTATTACAAACAGACATACAGGGACAGACCACATAATACTGAGATCAGGATGTGCCTGGCTTTCTGAAATAGACTGTTTCCATTTCTCCAACATTTTGTGCTCCTACTGTGGGATGTCAGTCTCAAACATCACTTGGGTGATCACGCAGCAATAGCTAAACTGAATCTTAAATGCTTCACTTTGCTCCACAGACCATTAGGCTGCTGGACTGTGTATCATCTGTGTATCACAAGGTCTGGCAGGGCAACAGAAACTGGAAGCTTTGAACCCTTGGTCCCATATGCACCCTCCACTGGGGATGCACTTGGCTTTTCACAACTGAGGGATGAAGGTGACTCCTGCTGCAGGGGGAAAAGGCTGTGCCACCATCAAGGCATTGCCTAACTCAGTGTAAAAAATATTTTTTATATTTAAATTTAAGTATTTGATCCATTTTGAGTTAATATTTGTACCTGTTGTGAGAAGGAGTCCAACTCTGTATTTGTGAACATGGATAACTATTGTCACAGCACCATCTGTGGAAAAGATTCTTTTTTTCCTCTAGTGAATTGTCTTGGCAATGTTGTTAAATATCAACAGACCATAAATATAAAGGGTTCCTGTGGACTCTCCCTTTCCATCCATCTATACCAGCAGTGATCCTACCAGCACTGCACTGTCTTCAGTACTTATTGCATTGTCCTGGGGGAACTGGGTCTCTTGGAAGCACTACATATTCCTCTGGCTGCTTTTGTCTTTGACCCAAAGGCCTTGCACTTGACAGAGGGAACTTGTAAGCAGGGCCCAACCTCAGACACCCATTATTCTTGTCCCAAGAATTCTCTTCAGTATTTATTTTAGTATAAGAATGATAGCAATCAATTTCTTGAGTTTCTTTTTGTCAGCAATCATTTATTTCACCTTTGCTTTGGGAGAAATTTTGGTGGATATAAAACCCTAACACTTAAAAAAATGTTATTCCATTGACTCCTGGATTTGTAAGTTGTCAGCAGTGAGTTGTCACTGTGTTCTTTCAGTGTACTGTGCCTTTTCTCACTGTCTACTCTCAATATTTCCCTTGAAGCTTTGGTTATAAGTAATTTTACTAGTATGTGCTTAGGTGTGGATTTTGCAGAATTTTCTGAATCTCTGGGTTAATGCCTTTCATCAATTTATTGAAATTTTTGATCATTCTCTTTTAATGTTATCTTTGCCATTTCTATTTCACTTTTTTAGGACTCAAATTTTGCATGTTAACTTTTGAACGTGTATCACAGATTTCTTTTATGTAGCTAAATGCATTTTCTCTTTATTTCAGTTTGGATATTTGCTATTGATTTGTCTTCTACTTCAGTAATTCTAAGCTCTGCTATATCAAATCAGCGATTAAAACTCATTTTCTTAATTCTTGATTTCCTACATATTATATGTCCATTCTATAATATTCTCTTGATTTTTAACATGGACTCAAATTTCCTAATGACATTGTAGGTCATTCTACCTCCTCTGACTATGTTTTCATCTACCATCTTCAACACATTAACCATGGTCATGTTAAAGAACAATTTCAATATCAGGGCCCCATGGAGATCTGCCTGTATTTCTTTCCCTCTTGCTATCTATCATCATTTTTTGTCTCACCCATGTATGGTTATTATTAGATATTGTATATTAAAAGACTTCAAATGTTCCAGATAGTATGATAACCCACAAGAGATGGCTTCTCTATTCCTCTCTTTAATAAATAAATGACAAGGCTATTATTTCAGTCCCATTAAGAAATCAAGAAAATTAGGCTGAGCTGTTAGATTCAGTGTACCTTTGCCACCTTCATCCTCAGATGTGGGCTCCCTGTCTTCTGAATTACAGTCATGTCCTCAGCCTTGACGTGCTACCTAAGACCAATTCTGTACTTAAGATTCCCACTCCAAGTTTCTTCAGTCTCCTAACTTGCACAGTTTCAATGTGACGCAAAATTATAAAGAGGAAGCCTGGTATTGTGGTTGAACCAGGGTCTCCTCCAAAGTGGTTCCTTGGAGCCAAAGCAGCACAAAATTATAGGAATATTTTCTCAGATTTCAAGATTGAAAGCCAGGCTCCTGAACCTCCTGCATACCTCTGAACTTAGCACACATCTCTTGGGTCAAATAGGCCCTTTAGAAAACTGTACAATGGAGACCTCTTGATTTCTGATATATTGTCACTCTGGCTCCACTTGATCTTTAGAAGCTTCTGTATGAACCATGGAGAGATCAAAAAGAAAGGATGCAACAAATATTTAAATATCTAATGCTACCTCTTGTTTGTTATAACTAATGATGAAGAAAGGCAATGTGTGAGATGCAATTTTACTTCTATTTTTCTGCCATACCAAATATGAAAAAGCTATTACCATAAATGATTACAGTGCAGCTGAGCCAAAGTTCCTCAAGATTATTTTGATAAACTGCCACATTAATGGCCCTCAGTTATCCATAACACCCAAGATACACAACCTTGTGTGAGCCCCTCATATACTGATTCTGACCTAGCCAAGGGGCTTCTGTTATGATTTACTATGATGTGTCCCACAAAAGCTCACATGGGAGGCAATGAAAGAAAGTTTAGAGGTGAAATGATTTGGGTTGTGGGAGCCTTACCCTAATCAGTGCATTAATCCACCTGAATGTATTAACTGGGTGATAGCTGTAGGCAGGGAGTGTTGGCTGGAGAAGGTAGGTCACAATGGGTATGACTTTGGGGTATATATTTTGTTCCTGGAGAGCAGGGCTCTCTCCCTCTGCTTTCTGAGTTTCATGATCTGAGCTGCTTTCCTCCTCCACACCTTTCTGCCATGATGTTCTGCCACAGAGTTGGCCATTTATGGACTGAGAACTCTGAAACCATGAATCTCAAAATAAACTTTTCCTCCTCTAATTGTTCTTTTCAGGTATTTTGGTTGCAGTGGAAAAAGAAAAAGAAAATACTTACTGAAATATTGCCCTTTGTCCAAGGTGATACTGGCAAATATGGCAGAAGCAGAAGCTTCATAAACATGTGCATATTAGTGCTTACCTTTTGAAAATATGAAAACACCACTCTCTGATGAAGTCCGAAATGAAAAGCCTAACATAGGAACACCCTCTATTCCAGCCTGGCCAGGTGTAAGGCCAGCATAGATGATTGTGTTTCCAGTTCAATCCCCAGAGTCACCACATTATCTGAGAAGGACCACCAGAAGAACAACCAAGCAAAGCCAAGTCCCCAAAGCTACAATTTGCCAAAGATCATGATCAGAACACTAACTCTGAGTACACCCCACCTGTTCATCCTCCTGCATTTTCTCCCAACCCCAAGTGAGCACCCATCCAGATGTGGAGCTCATAATTCTCTTGACTTTAAATATGCCTGTCCTGAGAAGGTATGTATTTGATATGTATATACATATCAAACATACACAAACACATGTGTGAATGTACAATTTACACAATTGTGACATGTTGAGACAACAGGAGAATTTTACTTTTTATTTTTTCTATGCATTATTAGTACAGTATTATTCTACTTTATAGATTTCTATGGTTGATTTTTCACTTTGCATCAGAGGTTCTCAAGCAGAGGTGTCTTTGCCTCCCCAGAGACATTTGGCAACATCTATATGTTTTCAACTGTCTCTATGTGAGAATGCTGCTGGCCTTTCCCTGAGAAGTTGGAGATGCTGATTAACTCCCCAATACACAGGACAGCCCTCTACAACAAAGTGTTAGCCAGCCCAAAATGCCAATGTCAAAGTTGAGAAACTTGCATTAATCCTTGTTATTGCAAGCACTTCATCATATACACCACTGCATGACTCTACTGCAATTTATTTTTATTTAATTATTTTGTTCTTATACATGATACCATTGTATATAATCTTCATTATGAAAGTGGGCAAAAGTGTTTCTAGAGTTTATCAGCTTGGGAGTGGAGTTTCTGGGTCACTGGGAGCGTGCACATCTGACAGTAAGAATAATGCCAAACTGCTTCCCAAGTCACAGTGCCAGCTAACTCTGCTTCCAGTCTTTCATAAGTGGCCCCTCATAGTTTATTTTCATACACTTGAATTTTAAGGCTAGTGATCATGGATGGCCACACTAAAGTGACACCTAAAAATGATTCTTTCTGTTATCAATGACAGTCATTTGTGGATTGTACACATTGAAAGTATTGCATTCCACATTTCAATTCTTTCTCATCTGAAAACGTATTTGCTCCTCTCTGGTTAGTCTTTTCACTTTCAAATTCATGATCTTTCTCTTTATAGTTAGAAATACCTCTAACGTGGTATTGTCAGTGGTATTGTGGCTTTTACATTTTTATTCTTATATTGTAGGTTGCCAATTAATAGAAATAAAAATTTATTTTTGTATAAATGACCTTTTATCTTGTCTTTGTTAACTTCAACTTACCTGGTCTAGTACTTTTTTCTAGATTCCGTAGACTTTTCTATTTCCATAAGAACATTGTTTCAAATAAACACATATTTACTTCTTCCTTTAAAATCTGTAGATTATTCTTTTTTTTTTTTTTTTTTTGGTCTTAATTTACTGGACTGGCTTGAATATCCAATGAAATCTTGAATGGGAGAAGTGAGAACCTTGTCCTAGATTATAGAAGAAGAAATTAAGGCACAAGATTTAGTATTATATTTCCAATGGATTTTCCTTGCCACCCATTGTCATATTGGGGAAATTTCTTCCCACTTAAATTTACTATGAGGTTGTATTACATATGGTTATTGGAGTTTTAAAATATTTAGTCTACATCTGCTGCGGTTGGAATAAGTGTCCTCTTAAAGGTTCATGGATTATTAAAGGTTTGGTCCCCAGGGTGACACTATTCAGAGATAGTGAAACCCTCAAGAGCCGGGGACTAGTAGGATGTCTTTAGGTCAGTGGAGATGTGCCTTCAAAGATGATAGTGGGACTAGACCCTCCTCTTTCTCTCTTTTGCTCCCTGGCCTTGAGGGGAGTGGTTTTACTTCACCAGGCACCTCCATCATGATGTGCTACCTCACATCAGGCAGGCCCAAATCAATGATGCCAACAGAACATGGATTGGAATTTCAAAGATTGTGATCCAGAAACAGACTTTTTTTAATGTATGAATTTATAGTGATGAAAAGTTACCATAGCATCTTTTGAGATGATCATATTTTTTTGCCCTTTATTCTAAAATGGTGTATTACAATAATTAGTTTTTCAATTTAGTATTTCTGGGGCAAGTGTTCTGTATCCTGATGCATTATCAATTTTCTATATTGCTTGTTTTGAATTGCTACTATTGTTCATAGATCTTGTTTCGATTTTCATGACATTTTAGTCATACTTTTTCTTGTTTTATAATCTTTGTGGACTCATGACACTTCTGGTCTCATAAAATAATTTGCAAAATGTTCCCTCCTCCTTAATTTTCTGAAAGCATTTATGAAATATATATAAATGTTAGACAGTATTAACCAGTGAAGTCTTCTGGGTCTGGAGTTTTGTTCATGGGAAATTTCTTATTACAAAGTCAACTTTTAAAATACATATGGGATGGCCATATAATTTTTTCTTCTTGTGTTATTTATGTATTATGTCTTCAAGGAGTTTTTTATTTGATCTATGTTATTTAATTTTTTAGCAAAGTGTTTTATAATATTTAATTATTATCCTTTCAATATATATTCAATTACATTCAGTATTTTTAGGATATATAGTGATGTCTTTTATTTTATTTTTGATATTCTCTTTTTTCCCTTAATGCGTATAAAGATTTGTAAGTTTCATTGATATATATGAAGATTTAAATTTTTATTTCATTGATCTTCCATAGTTCTCCTTTTTATCTATCATGCTGGTTTAGCCCTTATAAGAATCTTCTATTTACTTTGAATCTATTTGCTTTTGTTTTATAATTATTTTTCTTTTTTAATACATTTAAAACTGTAAATAACTTTTTTGGCTTGCTTCAGCTGAACCTCACAAATTTGGTATGCTATGTTTTCCTAATCATTCAATTTCAAAAAATCTTAAGATTTACCTTTTTATTTTTCTTTGGTCAATGACCATTTTAGAGGAGCATTATTCAACTTCCCAATATTCTAGGATTTCCATAATATCTTTCTGTTATAAACATTTTCCTCTGTATAATTGCATTATGTTCAGAGAACATATTCTGCATAATTTGAGTCCTTTAAATTTTGTTGAGACTAAATTTATGACCCAGAACATCATTTGTGTTGGCTTTTGAAAAGAATGTGTATTTTGATGTCATTGTTGGAGTATTTTTTGTCAGATAATTCAACTAAGACAAGTTGGTTGTCAAGATTTTCAAATCCTCTTGAGAAACAAAGGGTAAAATCTTTCAGTATGATTGAAGATTCTCCTATTTTTCTTTTTTATAACAAGCAATCTTGGATTCATGTTTTTGGAAGCTTTCTTATTGTATTCACAGAGACTTAGTATAGCTTTTTTGTTTGTTTGTTTAATTGATATTGCTGTCATTATGAAAATTTCCTCTTTCTCCACAGCAATACTTGGGTGCAGGAATCTCTTTGATCTGCTATTGCTGTAGTCCTCCCTGCTTTCCTTCCTTAACTTTTGCATCACATACCATTTTCATCCTTTTAATCTATAAGTTTATTTAGATTTGAAGTGCACTTTTTACATGTATGTTATAGAGTTGGGTTTTGCTGTTCATTAGGTCTTAAAATATCTGCCTTCTCATTAAATTATTTTTGAGCATTTACATTTGATGTAAATATTGACATGCCTAGGTTCAAAGGCACCATTCATTTTTGTTTGTCATTTGGTTTTTTCTTTTTATTACTCCATTTAAAAATTATTTGTGTAAATCACTTGCATTTTTCCCACTATTAGATTTTACTCAATATCTCTTTTCAAGGTTTTTTGGTGTGTGTTTACTTTCCAGTTTATATTATTCACCTTCAACTTATCACCGTTTATCTTCAAATGTGATATCAATTAATGTATATTGTAAAGATCACATAATAGGGGCTGGGGTTATAGCTCAGTGCTAGCGCACTTGCCAAGAATGTGTGAGGCACTGAGTTCGATTCTCAGCACCACATATAAATAAATTAAATAAAGGTCCCTGAGCAACTAAATTTTTTTAAAATTACATATCAATATATTCATTTCCTCCTCCCATTGTTTGTGTATGTCCATGTATTCACACATATTATTTCTGTATATGTTAGAAACCCCATGGCACTTTTGTTATTGCTTTTAATTAAATAGTAAATTATTTTGTCAAGAATTTGTAAAACAAAAGACAAGAGTATTCTATATTTATGTACATTTTACCATTTTTGGTGCTCTTTTCTGTTTGTGGCTTTTTTGTATTTGGTAATGTGTTTTTATTTCTTTGTTGGGGAATTTACATTGATTTTTGAAGGATGAGATTAGTCGTGTTGTGAAATGTACCATTTCTGAATCTGTTTAAAAGTTTTTATTTATATCATTCCTCCACTGAATAATTTAGAACTGGGATGATCTAGTGGACATCTATTATACATGGGGCCATAACCAAGTAGTGAATCATGTAAAAATGCCAATGTTGCAGAAATAACCTCTAACATGGTTGCAGAACACAAGGCCAACAAACAAATATCAATCACTGCATAGCAACATTAATATATTTAACTATTAAACACAACTGAAATGTATACTTAAAAACAATTGATAGCATAAGTTTTATGTTGTCTCTTTTACCAAAGTTTTTTTTTTCTTTTTCAGAAAGCATTAGGCAGGAGGATCACAAGTTCAAAGCCAGAATGGGTAACTTGGTGAGACCATCAAAATAAATTTCAGAATGTCTGAGAATATAACTAAAGCATAATTAGAGCAATTGTATAGCATATAAAAGGCCCCAGTTTCAGTCTCTAGTACAAATATATATATATATATATACACACACACATAATATATATAAAAGAGACAAGGTCTAGCAACTGGTATCTGATTAGATATGAAGTTATATTTTTTCCTTGAAGATAAATGAAAATATAAATCAGTCAAACAACAGTTACAATCACTTTTCTCTATGCCAACTATAATGACAATCTATAGTTATCAATACAATTTTAATTTTAGCAAACTAGGCAGAAGATTGGAAGAAATGTTTCACAAAAGAAAATAAAGAAGGCCAAAGAGCATATGAAAAGATTTCACATCATTACACAGTTCCCTGGAAATGTGAATTAAAGCCTTGATAATATATCACTACATACTCATTAAAATACCTGTATTTATTTACACATAAGAAAATTCTCAGGAAATGACAAATATTGGCAAGCATGTGTATTTAATTGGAACTATCACACATTTCTGGTGTAAATTAGTAGTCATTCGGAAGTTTCCCATGTAATTAAACAAACATGTACTTAACACATGACCTGAAAGTGTATTCATAAGTAATTACTCAAGAGAAATGAAAATATATATCTACATAAATACTTATAACAAAAATGTTCATATCATATTTATTCATAACAGCCCCAAACTGAAAACATCTCAAGTGTCCATCAATAAGTAAAACGCATGAGCTGAGGTTGTGGTAGAGCGCTTGCCTAGCATGCGTGAGGCACTGGGTTTGATCCCCGGCACCTCATAAAAATAAATAAATAAAAAATAAAGGCATTGTGTCCATCTACAACTAAAACAAAAATATATTTTAAAAAAAAATAAGTAAAAAGCAAAGCAAATTTTAGTGTTTCCATACAACAAAATCCTACTCAACAGTAAAAAGAAGCAAAAGGTAGGAAATTCAAAACCATTACTCCAAACAAAATAAGTCAGATACAACAGAATGCATACTAATGACCCCATTCGTGTTAAATTCTAAAGAGACAAAAGCCACCTAGTGATAGAAATAAGATCTGTGGTCTTCTGGTGCCAAGATGGGGAGAATGGCTTCTTAAAGGTAGGAAGGAACTTTGGGGCAGTGAAAATGTTCAGTGGTTTCATAGCTATATGGTTTTATTGGTCAAAACTAAGTGAACATTTTGAACAGGTGTATTAAAGTTGTTCAGAAAAAACTTCAACAGTTTATGAAAATTATGTCACAGTTTTGTCATAGTAAATAAAATAACAGCTAAAATGATATCTGTTTTATATGAATTCTTTTCAGTAAATATTTCCAAGACAAAGGGTATTTTTAAATGATTTGATGTTATTGTTTTCATTATTAAATTGTTCTTGCAATCACTAGGAATTTATAAAAACAATGTTCAGATCTTTGTTATCATTTTGTGCCTTTTACCAAATCTTTAATAATGAATACTTGCCTTAACAAAACACTTTAATGTTTTATCATCATAATTCATATTTCAAATTTAAAAGAGAGTGAGGAACTTATTCATTTAAAGAAAATCTCTAAATCACCTTGAGATTTTACTTAATAAGAAAAACAACTCTGTATAAAATTTATGCCAGGAAGTAAATGGATTCTATAAAGGTTGAGTTATGTCTTATCAATCATAATAAATCATTAATAATTAATAGGAGACCCAGCCTATGCATCGCATATGCACAAGATGGCCACAAGTGGTAATAACCTCTGTTGAAGCCTCATCCTACAGAAAGGGCCTGTAGCAAA